AAAATCAGCAAATCTGAAGACATTAATCAAATTTCTTTACTGATTCTAGGCAGGAAGCAAGTGCTGCATCAATTTTCAAATCCAATTAAGGAACGAGCGTTTCAATAAATGGGTATATGCGGTTGGTGGTAATATTATAGGCCTAGAAAATAAGCGCATATATAAGGACTGACGTGTGTCGTAGACATTTTGAGGTCAAGTATCCATGTTGCAGTAAAATTGCCAATACAGCTATACCAACGTTGTATAATCCAGGTATGTGAATATAATTTATTACACTTAATGCTTAAAACATAATTTATATAGTTAAAGCAATGTCTATTGGCTTACAAATTATTGTTGTTGACTGTTGTACATTATATATTCTATGCATTTACCCATGAAGGGATTTATGCAGTAAAATTATATATTTATTAATATAACATAATTGAAATTTACACTGTTATAGTTTTACAGTATGCTAAACTGCTCAGCAGTTTGTTGGCAGAAAAATAATGCCAACACTTCAGCAACTACCTAATATGCAAAAAAATTGCTTAATACAAATATACAATCATAAAAACAAACAAATGGTATCTAGACACACGGTAGCGTGTCAAGACAAGTTCAAGCAGAACGGCGAGCCGCACTGTGTGTAATATTACACGAACCATTTGGAGCCACTTTTGACCGCCTCATAACTCAAAAACTATTTCACATAAACGTTTCAAATTTGAAACATATATTGAGACTTGCAAGATATATATGTACTTTAAATTTTGTAAACACATCTCAAACGGTTATTTAGATATTAACGTCTAAAAATCGTCATTTTTATAACTGACTGACCTATAGATCAAACTCTAACCCAGTTCTAGATGACCTAGAAAGTTCAAATTTGGCATGCAGATAGATAGTTAGGATGATAGTTACAAAGAAATAAATCAGAAACTGATAAACTTTTATCATTTTATTATAATTTTTCACTTAATTGATTCTATTAGGAACATGTACACAGAGTGCGGTACGCCGCCGGAGGAGCGGGGTAGGAACGGCGCGATAAAATCTTGACGCGAACGTGTCCGAGGTCCGAGCGAGTCGCAGGTGGCACCTGGCACTGGCAGCAGCGCTCATAAACATAAACGCGAGCGCCGTTTTGCTGTCCGGTTGTCTCTCAATAGAACTATGAGGTGGCGATTTATGCTACGAAATTAATAGATTTTCTTAAAAAATACTTACATATTTGTGGTTATATGATTATTACAATTCTTTTAGTAAGTACGTACTGCGTGTCTAGATGGTATAGGAAATGGTTTAAATCAAAAATTAATAATAATTTTAGTATAGTTATAAGTAGGTATGTATACCCAACTCTGAATGAGTGAGAATGAGACTTTATTGGTATGGTAACAAATTTTCTTGAGAATTCAATAGATAACAGGTATTTTGTTATGTAATTGTCGTAAATAATTATCTTTTTATTACGTATATTGTACAATAATTTGTACAATAGTTACGGGTGGGTGACACACTTACCTTACACTGAATTGTTCCAATGCCCCCCCGATGGAAGCTGCCTATTCCATGCGATCGCCGTTTCAGATATTAAGTAATGTATATGTTCACATCGAATAATTCCCTATTTCCCTATTATCTATAAATAATAAAGTAAGAAACCTGTCTATATACCAACTAAAATCCAAAGTTTTATTATGGTTGCGTAAGTTGACATACAACGAGACGGAAAATCTATTCAAAATAACTCAATAGCACGAGTCATGTCATCAAGTATAATAAAAACACACTTACACACACAGGGCACACAAACACACGCACACCCACACACAAACACACACACACACACACACACGCACGCACGCACACGCACACACGTACACATGCACACGCAAAACATGTACGGATCATAGATGCAACACACGTATTCATGCATTTTTTTATTTTTTATTTTTTCTTGGCTTTGTAAAAAATTGTATTCATTTTTGTTACCTTGTTCTGAGTTGTGATAACCTGATAAGCCATTTTGTAATTGTAATTTAATGGAAATGGGAAGGAACTGATTCCCGACACACAGTTATTGCTAGTTCGGGAGTCAGGGCTTCAACTTTGTAGTGTCGATATGGTTTTATTCAATAAATAATTTAATATTATTATTATTTGCTTAGCATTTGTTATTACTATCCACAAATCACAAGCATATAGCCTTGACAGTGTTCTTCTCGACATAGGCTCCTCTATATTTAGTAGAATGCAGGCTTACGTTGAACTCTCTAGAGCTAAAACCTTAGTTGGAGTACATCTTATCAATTTAGATCCAAGTCAAATCAAGTCACAAGAGAGCTCTATTGTAGAGTACAACCGTCTGCGCACGTTTAGCCCCGACTAAGCCAAATTAGGTATAAACAGAAAATGCATGAAAAAAATTCCGGATACTGAATGGGCAATTCACTCAAACATATCAAAGGTACAAGAAAATATAGAAAATAATACAAAAAGACAACCCCATAAACGTAGAAAATACAGCAGTTTAACAAAAACCATTTTTTATTAATTTTGTTATAAATAAGTACATACTAATAATTTATGTACAAAAAGTAATGATAACCCATCAAAAATATAAATGTGAAATGAGAGCAAAGTTCAATATTATGATATATGCCTTGGTTGTTGACTTCAACGACAAAAGAAGTGAGATCTAATTGGGTGCCAAGTCCAATGATCAACCCTGAAATTTATTTATAATAACATAAAATATTGTTTCTTCTTATAATTTAGGATAATATATTGTAGCCTAAGGTCTGACTTGGCTAGTTTTTATATACGAATTATATTATAGCCTTCGCAAGTTCTATACCTGTTACTTGTCGGTTCTTATTTTATTATTCCGAAAATTTGGCTTGCTGGTAAAAACTAGCCATCGAACATGATAATTCGTATCGATATTCGTATCGTAGTACAGCGAACTGCGTAAATCCTAGCGCAGATGGGTGTGTTAGTCCACTAGATATACCCACTCATACCCACACCATATTTTAAAAACGTGTTTGCCATTACTGGTTGTGAGTTTGATTTGAGATAATTTTTGTTAAGTACCATTTTTCTCAAAAACTATTTGTATGATTTTGATGTGGTTTTTTGCATTATAATTATACATTTTACATCTCGGTAGGTTCTTATATACTATGTTTTATAGTTATAGACCACAAGGAGATTTAATTACCGTGAAAATACAATATAATGTACACACTGGGTTCCAACTCCTCAACCAATGCTGCTATGTAACTACCCTAATAAATACTGAAGATGGAAGATTTGCGAGGTTGACAGGCATAAACTCTGTCACTGTACTTCAGGCACCAACCCTTTAACTTTATGCTGCAGTGTTACCACCTAAACCGTGTAGATTAAGAATCTGTCAATTGTGAATATATATTGTATAAACATGCTACCAAGGTACCGCCTCAGAACAGTTTCTTAGATATATTTTTAGGTTATTAGGCCACCACACCAGGGAGCTCTGCTATTAGTTGCAGGTTCTTAAAATTTGTCGTTTATTTGAACTTGTATTAATTTCAATTCCAGGACCATTGACCCTTTCAAACTACACTTTTAGTAAAAGAAAACCTATGAACCTCATCCAGACTTATGATGATATCAACATTAACAGGTAAAATCCATATTAATTTAATAATATTAAGGTGCGTTGGGGTAATACCGGACGATTTTCGACTAGTTAAAAGAGTCGAGCAAAAACTTTATTTTCTCGACATCCATATACGTCAGATTTCTGAAACATGGCACAAATCGTTAATGGTTACACGTAATTTAGCTATAAGAAGCTTTTACTTTTCAAAACTTAACAGTTTCTGCTTAAAACGTGTGCGAAGACAAGGCATAATTTTTTATATGCATGATGAAGAATTGGCCATCAAGGGGTAAGACCGGACGTCGCTAAAAATCGCAAATAAAAGTGATAGGGAAAGACCGGACGGACGAAAAAAATACAAAAATTACCTTGTTTTATAAAATACTGCGCAGCACACGCCCTACTTTTCGGAGCGACTGGCTGAAACTTGGGGTCGGGGCAGAATAAAATGGAGACTTGTACCATATTGCTAGCTTTCAAAAATATAGCTTAATTCACCGGGAATTTAAATTTTACGGTCTTACCCCGTCACCGACCTCACCCCAATGCACTATATAAAAAACTTTATTATACCTATTTTGTCGAAATTTCGTACAAAGATAGCTTGCATCCAGGATAATAAAGAGTTGCCATGACAATTTTTAAAAACCTCAATTCATACAAAGTTTTTGGCATATACTATGTGGTATGTATATGTAGAGAAATTTTGTGATATAGTGACAGTACTACATAATATAAATAACTACATAGCATTTTGTATAATTTTATTAGTTAGATTTATAGTTCCAAATTTTATTCCTCATCGTTATATCGACATAATGCCTGCCCACAACTGAACATAGGTCTCCTCTCCATGCTTTCCAGCCTACTACTAACTACCTCTCTAACTGTACAACTCTTATTATTTTAAAATGCCTGTGAAAAACAGACATATGTAGAGAACTGTAAAGATTCCTTGTTTTACTATGGAACCCTAAAAACTCCTTACAAAAGCTGAACAGGTTAATAATAAATTCTTATTCTTTAAATTAAGTTATTCTTTATTAATTTTAATTAATAATGGAATTTGTTTTGAACTAAATCAGTCTTTGGCTGTACACCCGTGCATAAAATAAACTGCGATTACACGATCACAAAACCATTACAACATGGCTAAATTAGGCGAGATAATGAGTTAAGGAGATTTAATCTACTTCCTCCATGCGGGACGCGTCATCAGCATCACCATCTAATGGTGGAACTTCACCAGCGCCAGTCTCTTTCCACTTGAATAGGTTCATCCTCATCGATGCCAAGGCCAAGCTTGATAATACGGTAGATACGTGCAGCGTGGACCTGAGGCTCGTCCAAAGTGAAGCTAGATGACAGCAGTCTTGCAGAGCAGAATGACGAGATCTTTAACAGCGTTTTCATTCTTGTCCGCCTCCGTTTTCTGTCTGAGAGCGTCAACAATGGAATGGTCAGGGTTGATTTCGAGGTGTTTCTTTGCTGCCATGTAACCCATAGTGAAAGTGTCACGCAGAGCTTGGGCCTTCATGATATGTTCCATGTTAGCAGACCAACCGTACTGTGCTGTGGCAATACAGCAGGGTGATTCAACAACCCTGTCGGAGACAACAACCTTTTCAACTTTGTTTTCAAAGATTTTCTTCATTGCTTTGCAGAGACTTTCAAATTTGACTTTGTCCTCCTCGCGCTTTTTCTTTTCTTCCTCATCCTCGGGAAGTTCCAGACCTTCCTTAGTGACAGAAATTAAGGTAGTATCAAAATATCCTTTGGGCACTACTGAGTAAAAAAGTTCAATCTGAAATTATGATATTATTTATGCAGATGATTTAATTTAAAGCCTGGGGTAGCCTAAACTCGAAATACTTACATCCAATTATATTAGCCCGATAGCCCGCTCTGCCATATTCATCATTAAATAATTATAACATTTGACCTTATTTTGATTTTGTTTTAGATTGTCAAAATTTGACTTCTTCATGTATGAAAATGAGCATGCTAGAAGATACCTTACAAAAGGAAAATATTGGTTGGTACTTGGTACTCATTTATTTTAAGTGAAGTCAAATACTAGTTAGTACAAACATGTAAGCATGTAGCACATAATTTTTAATATGACTGTATCTAATAGACATCACTATTAGTTTATTATTTTTATACACAATTATTCAACATTTATACTGGAGTCAAGTCAACATTATATTCTGTCAAATAGAATTTACCAAAGTAGACATGGAGACTTGACTTTGCCCATACCAAAATACATTATTAATTCTTCTTAACAAGCTAGAGTGCCTTCTCAACAATTGCATTAGATCCACTGCTGTGCATAGAACTCACCAGATTGCCTCGTAGGTACTACTTGCCATAGCTGCCACGCTTGGCAGGCGGATTATTGCCCGTCTTCTGTTTCAGTTTCCCTCTCTCGCCTCGAAATTAATGATTATATTTTATCATTTCAGATATTTTACACTACTTTCCTAGACCGGAATACCCTTCAAAGGTTTCAGCGATGGAAGAAGATAGCTAGAACATATTTAAAAGATAACCGATTGTGAAATTTACAATAACTACCGCTTTTGTGATCAACACTTTGAGGATCGTTTTTTATTTCCTCGAACCAAAAGACTTGCAAAAACAGCTTACCCCAGTCTTAACTTTGATAAGTCTTTATTAAAAGCTTTCTCACTGTTATGTTTATTAGCAATTCTTTTAGCAGTAAGCCCTAGATAGTAAAGCACACTGGTTTAGCAATAACAAAAGCTTATTAACTTTTACTTAGATAAATACAACTAGGAACCCTTATAATTTCGCCATGTCCGTCCGTGGTTTTACTCAGAGATTCTAGGTACTACAAATCTGTAATTGCCCAAGTGTATGTGCAAGCACAGGTGCACTCTCTATTTCATCACTCTCATTTTCCGATGGGGCGGTAAACCGACACGACCGGGGAGAGATCAAGCGCGGGGCCAACGGCTTTACGTGCCTTACGAAACACGGGGGTGATATACCGCCAACAGTGGCGAAGCTAGGATCTCCAAGCTAGGGCAAGCCCAAGATATAAATTGATAAAAATATAGATTGTTGTTTTTAGCAGTTTTATAAAAATACACCAATCTTGATCTGTCTCCACACTTCAGTTTCATATTCAGTGCTGTCAAGGACGTGTTTAACAAAGCACACAGAAGGCATACCACTGCTAGATAGATTGTATCACATATCAACAATTGCATAGCTTCGGTGGCTTTGAAGAAAGCCGTTTGGGTTTGTTTAAGTGAATGAAAAAAATATTTACATCCAATAAAATACATGAACAAAAGTAAAACACGAACAAAGTACAAACAAACTATGTACAAAATTAAAAAAAATTATTTACATTCTAATGGATAAGAGATAAGATAAGATAAGTGGAATCGTCTCGCTTTCTTATGGAAAGATTTAATTACGTCCACGTAAAATTAATGATGGTGAACGTTTTAATTGTACCAATAACTGTTTTTAATTGCGATTATTGATAAGTCTGAAATACACTCTTAACCTTATGTATATTCTCAACAAAGTTTAAAGAATTCCTCTCTGATTATCACTTTAACACACTTAAATTCATCACAAGGAACACTATTATCCTCCATTTTCATTAAAAATCTTTAAAACGGCATAAATTTTGAACTCGTAATATTAAATCGCTTAAGATAAGCAAACAGAGTAAATAAACATTGAAATGTGAAATGAACTTCAAACGTATTGCCCGCGCGCCTCCGCTTTTAACAAATTTATTCCCAAAAGCCTGGCTTTTAATCTCTATACTAATTGCTATATATACAATCGTAGTTATATTTCATTATAGAATATTTTGCCATAGGTTAGAAAGAGAGCGATCGTCTTCTCGAAAGCCCCGTAAAAAGTCCACGCGAGCGAGGGAGACAAGATCGGGGACTAGATCGGGGCCCCGCCCCCTCCGTACTGCGTGTGTGTAGGCGCATCGGCCCGATTTCTTTTGGCAGTCGCTGCCGGCAGCCCTCGCGAAAGAACGTTAACGATACAGTGATACTGAATGGCCTTTTTTACATAACAAAATTTTTACTTTTTAAACATGTGAACGGAGTAGAAGCCTATGGCACTGATATTTTACAAAAAACAAAAAAAAAATTTGAATAAATAAATTCATTAAAATCTATCGAAATTCAAATCATATCCACCCTAACCTATGACCTTGCGAAGTCAAGAATGCCTACTATACTAATTGTTTTATTGCCGTTCGTAAAGTAATATGTAAAGTAGTATGAAGTAAGTAAGGAGAGGATGAAGCCTCTCCTCAACAACTAACTCCTATTCCAACGCTATCAACACAAGACCGCACTCATATCTCTTACGTGCCTTCATCCTCTCATCAACAACTAACTCCTACTCCTTCACCATCTCCACATCAACAAACAAGCTATGAGAAGCTAGAAGGGAGTATGTCCGAAACTAAAAGTTTCTTTATGTTAAAAAAAAGATATGCTATTTTATTTTTTGATAGTTTTAATACATAAATAAAGATTACATTAAAAAAAGTATGCATATTATTATACAAAAGTATTTTATTTCTTTGTTTGTTGTGTGTAGTACATAACCCGATTTTGACCAAAGCAGAAATGAACAAAGAGAAGAAATAACTAAATAGCATAGGCAGAAGAAATTGATGTTTTTATAAGTTGCGAAATCATAAATATAGAAAAATTTTAGAAGGTTGTAAAAACTGTTCATCATTCTGTTCATCCATCCGGAGAAAATTAATCATGTCTTTGGATTACAGACCATTTAGTACGTTTATGTGGCTTAATTTTTGTCTCTTTTGGAGCCATTTTTCACCCAGCAACTCCTCTTTTTCTATTTTCGAATAAATTAACCGAGAGGGCTAATTCCAAACCAACACGTTGGTGTTTTAAGAGAGTCGGAGGCATTTTGAAGAACTACCGCATAAGCGTTCCGCTCCAAGTCCAAACGCGTACTGCTAGGCAGGCCCGTGTGTAGGGGCTGCCTTGATAAAAGCCCCGATTTCTTTCCACCCTAGATCGCCACCGATATCGTCTCGTATGTAGCCTGCTTAAGGCAATACGAGGTCATCGGTCGACATGTGTCGAACAGTGGAGTGCGCGGGAAATTTGAAATAGCTTGAAACATTTTACGAGTTATTTTGTTAGTTGATATTATTGATTGATATTATTGATTGATTCAGGTTTAATTAATAAAGCAAGCCCGGCTTTTCGGCTTTAATGGAAGCTTCGCCACTGACCGCCAACTTCCTGACCCCGGGCAGATATTGAAAATTTCTTGACGGATAAACTCAATAATTAATTTTTTCTCCCGACCCGGGATTCGAACCCAGTAACTCATGATCAGTAGTCGCGCCACTACAACCACTAGACCAACGAGGCAGTCAATTTTCAAGGCTGGAATTTACTATAATAATAACAAGTATGACATTAAGATTTAATATGCTGAGTATTTTTTATAGCCGAAACAAGTGAAAGGCTATACATCTAAACCTGGCTCACAACGCACAAGGTATATAGCATGTGGGGTAGGCAGTTGACCGAAATTATTCCTGTAGTCAATCCTAGGAACTGGTTAATCGTGGTCGTACCTTGCGTTTGTTGCATCTGAAATAACTAGAACTCTGACATGAAGCACTCCTGGCTCAAATGTAGAAGGCGGTTCAGATATAACTTCAAAATTTCGGTATCAATGGTCCGCAAGCCATGCAGTAGGAATGCAACTTTTTTGCACTGTGCACACTGCAGCACCGCGCCAGCTCCAAAAGCATTCTAATAGCATATTGCATAATATATATATTATATCATTATAAGGCAGAAGTTGCAATTATAAAAAATTAATTAAAAAGAGATTCAAATACAATCTGATCTATGCTGTCATTATTATATCTGATCTCTGTATGCTGACCTGTTTGTCATACTTTTTTCAGATACATTGACTAAAAGAAGATGTACAGATAAAAAATAAAGAAAATGTTACAAAATAATGAATTTAAAAAACAGATTAAAAGACCAAAAAGTCATGTAACAGCAGCAGAAAAATTGAAGCTTTACGATTTTGTGCAAGTAAGCATATATACGTTGTTAAGTAATATTCAATGTTGAAATTATTTTTTGTAAGATATCCCTTTATCACTTATTTACTTGTATTCTCTCTTGTGTCAAACATTTTATTGCTTCCTATTATATAAAAAGTGCTCATAACATTTTATATCTTTGCAGAAAATGAGTTGTTGCCACAAGAATGTGAAGATATACTTCTCCTGTTTGATTTTTTTTAATGTTTGGTTCCTATACGAAAACACAAGATCTGTAAAAATTATGTAAAACCAAATTCGGATTGTTTAAGTTAGTAGTTAAGTTTTATTTTATCATTATTGATTTTAATATGTCTGCTTTTTTATTTATAATTAATGCACCAGCTCTTATGCCATCTCTGAGGGTATGAACTATGTACAATTATTATGATCAACAAATTAATCATAAGGGTCCTTACTTTTTTATGTTTATGTCATGTTGAAAATTCAAATTTGATATTTATTATCAATATAATGATTTTAAATATCCCATTTGAGGGGTTTCATTAGTCAAATGTTATTAATTTTTTTTTGTTGTAATATTCAACACATTATGCAAAGTTTTGTGAAAGTTGCAAAAACGTTTTTCTTGAAACGACAAATTTGATGTATTTGCTTGGTGTGGGTTGTCTTACAAAGATTATTATTACAGTTATTACATCAATTACATACCCATATTAATTTTCATCTTTTTATAACTTTTGAAATAAAACTATTTTAGTTTTTAGTTTCTGCGAATTTGCTAACTGCCAAAATGTGAGCAGCTGTAAATCTAATGATTTCTTAAATTTACGCGAACACTACACATTGAATAAAACTAAATTTACGGATTTTATCGCATTTATTTCACTACTTTTACTTATTTTTAATTCCCGACGTTTCGGGTGCTTTACAGCAACCATGGTCACGGGGGGGGGTTTTATTCAAATCTGTAAATCTTTTCTATTTACTACCTCTACGTTCGGAGTGGAGGGCATCTTTACCAGGGAGTAATCCAGATTTTATAATAATTATATTATTAGCATCTGTAATGTGTCATCTACTTCGCCTGCGGAGACAAGTGGGGGCGCATGATAGCTCGTGCAGATTGCCAGTGACCTCAGTGACCGCGAAAACACAACTCGCCTAAATGCATTTCTGTAAATGCATTT